AGAAAACTGGGATTAGAAAAGACTGAAATAGACTTTAGTCTTCTTTGGAAATATCTGGGTTGTTTTCTACACAGAGAACATGTTACACGCAGGTTTTCAGAAATGTGAAGAAAGCACCACAATCTAATTACTCTGAAATGTCAAAACTTAGAAGTGCTACTGTCCAATTTTAAGATGTGTGTTAACATGTACCTGAAAATGACTATATAATCAACAAGGGCTAAAAGCCAGGCATGAAAAATCAGAGTATTTTCAAAATTTTAAACTCAAAAGAAGGTCAGTAAGATGACTCAGTGTTAGGTTAAGGGATTTACCTAAGTTCAATTCCTGGGACCCACATGGTGAAAGGAGAGAACCAATTCCTGATATCCATGTGGATGTGCATACACACATACACACAATAAATAAGTGTGATTAAAGCATTACACTCAAAAGATATGATAAAAGGCATTAATCACCAACTAAGGTAAAAACAACTATGAGATGGCTGTCCTGCTAAAATAGTAATGAAACGTATAGTACTACAGAAGTTACTATTTTAAACAAGTATATGCAACTGAATATTCAGACAAGTGTGAAAATTTAGAGAGCAGAATGAAAGCTTTATCTGGCTTTTAAATGCATTAAGCATTTCTACAAAAGGCGTGATGATATTCAAGGGGCTAGAGAGATGGTTCAGTGGTAGAGAGCACTGACTGGTCCTCAGAAGACCCGAGTTGGTTCCCAGCACCACATATCAGCTAACAACCATCTGTAACTTTAAAGGGATCTGATGCCCTCTTCTGACCTCTGGGGCCATTGCATGGTGCACTTACATACATGCATGAAAAATACTCATACACATAAAATAAAAACTTAAAAAACAATATTTGAGTTTATTACATTTGTTGATCTATGATTTTGAGGAAAGCCAGGATCTTTCACAATAAACGGAATCTAAACCCTAAAAGAATAATAAATCCCATCACACTGTACTGCTGAAACTCCAAGATATGTTTTATTTTGAACCTAACAAAATTATATTTATAAATCTCAGTTTTTAAAAATTCCTTTCTCATTTCTACAAGTTTTTAACAGTTTCCTTAAGCTTAACTAACATGTGCCTTAATAGCTGAGCCCAGAAGCAAGGTCCTAATTTCTGGATTCCAAATTACATCCTTAGTCCCTAAGCACAGCCAAAGTACTCTGACAAAAATATAAAAACCAGTCCCTGACTAGAGCGTTTAAAGTCTGGAAGCACATTGAAGAAACATCTGAACTGATGTAAGATGTCTGATAAAGTTGCATGCCGGCGCGTGCAGAAGAGCCCAGAAGAGGATGACTATATTAGGTGTGGAAAGTATGCGATGTGTTCCAGCTTCTGCCTCTGGAGCCCCAACACCCTTCTTGAAGGTACGTGGCATTTCAGTGTAATAGAAATTATACAAACACACCCAATGACAAACACATGGGGCTAAGGCACTGCTGGTAAGTGCGGCTTTGGTGCTGTCACTGAATACAACGAAGTAAACACTGGTTTCCCAACAATCATTTCATGGTGTGTGCCAGGTAAGTGCTTGCGGTGAGTTGTGTTGAAAAGCCTAAGTTGAGCAAAGGTCTAAACAGAAGGAGAGAGTGGGATACCCCTGAGATCTCATTAATGACAAAACTCTGAAGGAAATTAGAACTCACTTTTTATCCTGGATTCAACCGGCAGTGCACCTGGCCCTAAGTGTAACAAGCACCCAGTGTTCTATCCCTGACTAACACAATCAATATTTTTCTTTAAACCCACAAGCTTTTCCCAGAGACCCAGGAACTGCTGGCTCAGGTTCATGCTATGGATTTGGGTGAGTCATTGAGCCTTTTACCTGTGTGCAACAGGTTCCTTGACTCTGGGCACAGTTCCAGACAATCATCTTTTGAAGTGAAAAATGACTTCCCAAGTTCAAAACCTCAAATCCTTTCCACATATAAACAATCAAATCCTAGGAATTGCGTCTTCTTTAGTTATTTAGATGTGTTTTTGTTCCCCAAGGCCTGAAGGCCAGCACAACCCTGAAGTGAGGAACTGATGTACAGAATCCAGGGAATGAGGACTGAGCCTGTCCCATCCTATGAGATGAAGGGCTGCACGTTTCATTCAGGACTACAAGAGGACATCCCACTTCTACATGGAGAACTTGTTGGCGTAGACATCACTACTAAATACATACACCACTAGGTTACTTGAAGTCTGTGGAATCTAAATGCTCAGTATTCTCTTGAGGGATCAATGAAATATCTCTTTTATCCATTTGTACTTCTCCTTTATTCCTAGATCATCACAGCACCACAGTTTAATGTGTCCCAACACCATAAATGGGAACCGCTTGCCATCTGTGAGGCTGAGCACTGCTCTACCTGGCACTGTCCAATGAAATCAAAGGCGATACATAAATAAACACAGTGAGATAAATCATACAACAGAAAGAAGACTTAAAGACCTTACATAACAACCGCAAATTGCTGCATATCAAGAGTCTCTGGCACACTGAATATTTCTTATAGTCTACTGATAAGGAAATTTCATCACACTAGGAGGCGGGCATATATTTGCAACAAAGATAAGAGACGTTTAGAAAATCAAACATTCAACAGTGTCGAAGGCACATGTGTGTGCCACACGTCCCTCTTATGGAGAAAGTTAAATGGGTGCCAACTTGAGATGAACACACTGCTAGAAAACCTCTTGTCTTACTGTCTTTCTAAAATCAAAGCCTTACTCAAAGAAGAGTTTTAGTTAAAGCAATACAGACCAGAAGACTAGATGGGGCTACTCCGCTAGCTGGATGTATTAAAAGTTAAGCACGACAAGTTGATACAAAAGATAACAATAAGAGAAAACTTTTGATTCCTACCTTCAGTGATTATGGGGCAGGAGAAGGGGGACAAAGAGAAGAAAGTACAGGAGAGCACAAACTAGGTTGGCTTAAAAAGAACAAGAGGTCAGCCGGGCATGGTGACACACACCTTTAATCTCAGCACTCCGGAGGCAGAGTCGGGCGGATCTCTGTGAGTTCAAAGCCAGTCTGGTCTACATAGTGAGTTCCAGGACAGCTGGGGCTACAGGGAGACCCTGTCTCAAAAAGACCCCCCCCACAAAAAAAAGCAAGAGTTTGAAGAAAACAGATTAAAATGTTAGTATCTGCTGTATGTTGCTGGTAAGTACATGGAGATCTACTGCCTTTATGAATGGTGTATATGTTCTTCACTTTTCAATATGTTGAGAGCATTTTATAATATTTTGAAGTAAAATGTAAGTAGAAATGAGATGTAAAAGACACAAAGAAAATGCCAGGGCCCTACCTAAGCAACTCTAGGTGGTAAAGTCCAATCACACAGTTATAATCACCAAGCAACATGATAAATACCCAGGGGCCTCCCAGTGACACTTTAGCTCGAGATAACATACACTAAAGTTTTACTTTCTACTGTGAGAGTGTTCTTTGATATCAATCTTGTTAACAAATGACATACTAGTATATTTATTCCTGGCCAAATGAAAACATAAGCCCATATTTAGGGGCTATACTGAAGGATATGCATTATTGTTTAACTGCATGTGCATCAGCTCATCTACATGAAAGCCCAACTCCAGGAGGCCATAAATACAGCAGCCTCGTTTTTAACGTTGAAGCTAAGACAGATCAAGTGTAATTGACACAAAAGTCCACGTTTCGGTTGAGTGTTCAAAAACCAACAGTAGGACTTAGGCTGTGTTAACAAACACAGCTGATTTCACCAAGTGAAAGTTCAAAAAATATACAGGTCTTTTCTCCCACATCCTCTATCAAATGGTCCAATCAAGCACCGAATGAATGGGGTGGTAGTCATTTACAGTTAATGTTTCCAGGTATGTGTTTTGACATGAGCATTTCATCAGATCATTGTATCAGAATATAAGACTACTAACACTCTAACTCTGGAGACATTTTTACCATCTGACCCCATACAAAAACATCCTAAGAAGGTCCCAGAAGTTGCACAGTGTTAGGGGAGTTGTCAAGACTGACTTGAATTACAATACAGGTTAGACCAGGAGAGGTAGTCTGAACCAGAAGACACCTCTTTACCTTTAGCATTCATGCACTGCCATGGTCCTGACTGTACATTACTGACCTATGTAACTGTTTCCTCTGCCGGTGGGTTCCTCAAGTCCATGAGAGTCCTGACCCCAAACAATGCTCAGCATGGCTTAAGAGGGAACTGCCTCGGCTTTGATGCCCCTAAGGACTCTCAGAGTTGCGCTAACTTGCTTTTGATGCAGTATTCTTAGTGCCCAAGTCAACCATGAGGACAGCCACGGGAATTCTCAACTTGCTAGGGCATCAGATACTCACAAATGCTGTATTCAAACTATATCAAGAAAACGAAGCAGTACACTATGACATTTTACAAGTCAGGAGGAAAGGGAACGTTGGCTTAAAAACAAAGTATGTTTGATCAGAAATAAGAAATTGCCCATCTACATAAAGTGTTAGATAAACGTACGCAAAAGATGCAGAGATGGGATATTCATTAGGTAGCTTCAAAAAAAGATAAATGTGGTAATAGCAAATGAAATGTCAAAGAAAAAGCTGTAATTGGCTCCCTACTGTACATAAATACAAGCACACAACACACTGTATATATACATCCACATACATGTGGCATTTGGGATGCATTATCACTACATATATCCTGTATTAAAAGGCGAAAGGGAGAAAAGATACTGAGTAAGAAGTGTTTCCTGGGTTGAAAGTATATCAGTCTTAAGGCATCTCATTTTATTAAAACCAGTTTTTCCGACCAGAAGTATCAAGTGCCATGTTCTTACTAGTGTCTGTAGAGCTTCTAGAAACATTTTACAATCTGAAAAGTCTCTCTCCTTAGAGTTACAGGATCATTGGAAGAAAAAATAAAGGCCACATTATCATGCATGATTTCCACAAATTGGTCTTTTCCTCCCACAGATAGAAAAGAAGAATGTAAACACTCACCACAGAGAGTTGGCTCCATGTGGATCTCAGCGGCTTATGGTGAATCACAATTTTCTCCTCCGGCTTCTGCTCTTTGGGCTCTGATTCTTCATCAGAGTCAATGTCAAGGGCCTTTTCCTTGTAGTTTTGATACAGGACTGCATTTTCTGCAAGAAAAGAAGTCAGACACGCCACTAACTGCCCCATAACTATTTCATTTGTTCCAAACAAACCTCCACATATACACAATGTCTGGTGCCTGGTTTAACTAATAGCAGAAGATGCAAACAGATTTTGTTACTGAAGAATATATGACATTCCATCTGAAGCAAAGTTTCAAAGTCTCTGTCCACTACTTAGGAAGGAGGGTCAGCCCCAACTCACTGTTATTCAGGTTAAACTGAATCCATGTGTTCGGTTTTCTTCAAAGCCCATCATCACTCATTTGCCCACTTAGCAAACATTTATTATATATCTATAGTGCCTTAAGTTCTGACAGTAAAATGGAAAAGATACCTCTCATTCTTTCATGAGTCAACAAGTTATTTAAAATAAGTCAATTTTACACTCATGCATTTATTCATCCAACTGACATTTAGGAAATGTCTAGTAGAGGCCAGCAACTGCTAAGCAACTGGCAATACAATGGACAAAAAAGATAGAAAAATCTAAAGTTCCTGGAACCGACATAAAATGAAAGAGAACTGAAATAAACAAGTAACTTTCATAGTATTTCAATAGGGGTACGTTGTCATGGAGAAAAATACAAGATGGAAAGGGGTGGGAAAGGCCACAAAGAGAGTTAAGTGCATTTTAAGTCACATGGTTTAGGAAGGCCTCACAGAGGTGATAGTTAAGGCAAGACAGAAGCTATAAAAAAGGCAAGCCACCGGTACAGGTAGGCAAAAAGCATTTCTCGCGTGAGTGAGTGTGTGTGTGTGTGTGTGTGTGTGTGTGTGTGTATACACACACAAGTATATAACAGATGCAGGAAGAAATCAGAAGATGACCCTAGGTATCAGTCCTCACTTTCTACCTTGTTTGAGGTTCACAGCTGTGGACAGCAACTTGCCAGAAGAGCAGTGGGATTAGACATGCTTTACCACACTAGGCTTTATGTGGGTTTGGGCAACATGAACTCAGGTCCCCATACTTGTGCTATAAGCACTTTACGCACTGAGCCACCTCCCCAGCCTAGGCAGGAGCATTTCATCAAAGTGAACAGCCAAGTACAAAGGCCTTGGGGCAGGAGTCTTCTTGTTATGTCTGTATGCTCAAGGAGCAGCAAGATCAATGTGGCTGGAATACCATGAGAAAGGGGAAATTATAGAAGACGGGATGTGAGGTAAGTACAGGGCAGAGTATATTGGACCACTGCTAGGACCTTGACTTTTACTCCAAGTGAGATCACAAATTATTGAAGGGCAGAGGGGCATATGATGGCTCATAAATACACACTGACAAGGGGAAGATTTATGTACAGATGCCCTGAGAACAGAATGGTGAAAGCATGATACAACCTGGGGGTCATGAAGGTACTAATGGGGAGAATCTAAGCTCTGACAATAGAGGGGAAGCAGAGCTCAAGGAAGTATACATGGACAGTCTGAAGCACAAGGAAATACAAAACCTCAGGAGCACTAATGAAGGTCAAGGTGGTTGTAGGTTGGGTGTGGGTAGTCGTCCAAAAACACATGGTAGATTTAGAGAGATGAACCATCTTAATGAACTGGATTTTATCCAGAGTTCAAAAGGATGCAGCTCCTTTCACACTGTAATCATCACACTTTATCCTGAATGCAAGGAAGTTCACTAGAAGTAAAAAGTTGCTTAGATCTGCCAGTCAAACACCACTGCCCAGGGGACTACTTGGAAAGCTACTGGGGTGGTCAATGAAAGCTAATGGAGACCTGAACTCTGCCACTTAAAATGGAGTGATGATAGACTGGATATAGGGGTAGAGTGAGGAAGTTAAGCATGTTTCTCAGGCCTTCAGGTCACACAGAGAGGGAGTAGGTGACAGGAACATCGGAAGAGATCCAGGTATGATGAGTAAGATTATGAGTTTGGTTTGGGATTTAGGAAGTTTGAAATGTTTTTCCCACATCTGCCTTTTGTCTTAGCAACCACATAAGAGTTCTGTATGCATTGTGTCTAAAGTAGCATTACAGTCTATGCAAGACTTTACATTGCTCCACTATGAAAAAAAGTAAGCCAAACTCAATTTCCCAAAGTCTTTAAAGCATCTACAGTGTGGCACAAAGTATACACATAACATTGATGATAGGATTTCTCACTCATTCTCACAAAAGCATGGGATGCAATATCATCACTTATTTTATATACGACGAGACAGGGGCTAGGGATGCAAAGGCCTTGCTCATTGCCACTCAAGTGATAGCAGAAGCAGCAAGAACCTGACACTGCAAGTTCTCAGCAGGGGGATACACTGCTTCCCAAGGAGCACTCTTGCAGGCTATTTGCAGTTAAGAACCCCTGTTCTTCACTTATGTATATGTACAAGTGGATTTCTACATTGCTGTATATGAGAACGGGCAAGACACTCATAAAGCTGTTCAAGATGCAACAGGGTGCTGAAGAAGCAGACCTGAGTCCCACGACTAGCTGTGCCATCTGAGGTATGAATCAACCAGGACAAGTTAAAATTCTCAGAGCTTCTAATTTCTTCAGTTATAAAATCAAGGACATAGATTTATCCCAGTTAGCCAAAATACTATAGGTGAGCTTCTTCACCATGTATCAATTATTTTCTAAGATTCATACAATCATTTTCATATATTACTCATTTGCTATTATAGAGGAAATATTTTACAATCACTCAAGGTTCTCTATTGTATAACTCTGCATGGTTTTATGTTTGCTTTTCTTTTTTTTTCTTTTTTGGTCTTTTTGAGACAGGGTCTCCATATAGCCCCAGCTGTCCTGGAACTCATTATGTAGACCAGGCTGGCCTCAAGCTCACAGAGATCCGCCTGCCTCTGCCTCCCAAGTGCTGGGACTACAGGCGTGTGCCACCACACCCGGCTGTTTGCTTCTCTTATAGAAGCCTTCCTTCATTACTCTTCAAAGTTCTTTGGAAACTCAGCATTTCAAAGCATGGCAGAAAATCAGTACCCTCAGTGTCCCCAGGAGCCTCCGGCTGCAGCTGGGATTGCTTCCTTCACAGACCTCCAGTTGGCCGACACTTGACCCATCTATTTACAGAAAGCCCGCTAATCTGATTAGCCTGTGAACACCTGGTTGAAGTTGCTTTTGTTTCTGAAATCCTTAACAACAAATACTATACAGGTTACAAATTCTTAAGAATAAGTTGTTTTCCACCAGGGAAGCTGTATTTCCCCAAAGGTGAAACTCAGTAAGAAAACAGGAAGTCAGAAATGAAAATCGAATGTGGAAATATGGTAAAAAAAAAAAAATATTAAGTAAAAAGAAATGTGACCTAAGGAAATACCACTCAAGATCCAAATGCCAGTCTCAGAGTGCTTCACTCAAAAGCTTGAGTTTGCTCTTACCTCTAATTTTTGAGGAGGGTAGAGCCGGAGAATGAAAAACCCGAGGATATTAACAGAAAAAGTCACCTGTTTATTAAAAAATGCCATTAATTTTGTTCACCGTTGGCCTTAATAAATAAAAAATTTAGCTTCGTGTTCAGAGTTCTGTATGGTATAATCTGAGAAGCTGGACTTTTTTCATAAGCATTTTTGTTACTGCAGTTAGGTTTCAACTTCTAATTGATAAACCACATTGAAGCTGCAACAGAAGTCTGGAAAATTAAATGCTTACCTTCCCCATCAAATGTCCCTTGTCCTTTCAGCATTTTCTTCTAAGAAACAAGAAAAGCAACAAAAGGAGAAAAGCAAGCTATGTATGAATGAGCCAAACAGAAAACACAACTATTACAAGTAAAAGTGCTTTCGGTTATATACCTTATTCCCAAAAGCACACCATGAAGAGTCCCTACAGCAGTTCACCCATGTGACCTCCACAATTCACTGAAGCAGTGACATAAAATGTACAGTGTCCCCCACACCCGTTAAACTAGACTGAATCCTCAAATGACCAGCTCCCTTCACTAAGTGATTCACTCTCACTGTTAAATTGAACTTTGCTATACTTGCAGAGCTGAGGGAATAAAAACACATAAAACCTTATGTAATGTCTTCTCTTTAAAACCATACGATCTAAAATAAAACAGGCTTGCTTGTGTATTACATGTGACATTTATATAGACTGCTTCCAGTTCTCTGATTAATCAAGAAAAAATGCGACTGCCAAAGGGAATCTTTGCCCCATTGCTTTGATCTGTCTAGTTTCTGAGGAAGGCAGCACCCACTGCAGAACAGCCCTCACTGATTGTCCCTTTGGTCAGGTCTTATTTAGTAAATGTCACTTCTAGGCATGCATCAGGGTGCGACGCCTCACACCCGCAACCTGAAGTTCTAAGTTTCTAACTAATCTGTCAAATACACTCAATGATTAATGCCAACAGAATATAAGCAAAGGCCATGGTGACTAAAACAAGCAACAGAAAAAGATAACGCACTGTCTCGTGATTGGGTAGTCGATTTAAAAATTCATTTTACTTGACGGCTATTAAATGTCCGACGGGCATCCAAAAACTAGTCCCAGCATATTCAATATTCACTTTGGCTGAACGAACAGTATGTGACACTCCTGCCCTCAACGCATGCCATGTTCCACGGCTGCCCAGTCCTACCTTCATCCGTCCCAGGCTAGAGAACTTCTCCTTGTCTTCCATCACTGCCTTCAGCGGAGGCTGGGACATCCTGTTCTTCTTCTTTGAGCTGGTGGGACTGTCAAAGTCAAAGCCACTGACCACTGCCCTTCTGTAGGATGTGGACCGCAAGCCTCGCCGAAGAGAGCCGGGGCTGTCCACGTCGTTGTCCGCCTCGCTGTCTTCCCCCGCGTGGGCCAGCGGCGCTCCAAGGCCCTCCACCATGCTGCGCACCTTGAAGAGCCGCCGGTGGAGCTCCGCGTTCTGATTGTTGGATTTACTCAGCTTAATTTCCGAGGCCAGGCTTTTGGGGATGATCTGCTGCTTTCCCACTTTGAGAGCGGCGGGGCTGTTGGTACTCAAAACCACCGAAGGGTTTTCGGGGAGCTCGATCCCCTGGGAGGACAGCCTTTGGAGGGCCAGCTTTTGCTCTGAAGACCTGTGCTGGGGTGCAGGGGAGACTCTCAAGACGCCCCGCTCGAGGTCCCCGGCTGTCTGACCGGTCTGCGAAGCTGAGCCTGAGGGGTCGGTTTTAGGGCCAAGACCGTTGGCAGTGGGCGAAGGCACCCGGCTGGCAGCCGCCCCGGCGCGGTCCTCCCCGGGGCCGCCGGGGGCGGGAGCGTCGGAAGTCCGCGGGGCGCTCGGCAGCAGCGCCGCCTGCGAGGCCACCGAACCGTTCCCGGGGGACTTCGGGGAACCGCCCGCCGCCGCTTGGGGGCCCTGGGGGGGCCTGGGCCGTCGGAGGCGAGGCGAGGCGGCTCTGCGGTCTGGGGACACCGTGCGACCATTGGTCACCGGCCGGCGCCGTGCGCACACGAGCTGGGGGCTCCTGGGCACCGTCCCGCCGTCCGGGGAGAGCGCGTGCAGCGCCGGCGAGGCTCGGTCCTCCACCGGAAAGTCGGTGATCAGCAGCCCGCTCGGGCTCTGGTAGGACTGCGGCCGCGGCTTGCTCCGGCCCGGCAGCTGGGGCGGAGGGGTCGAGCGTCTCCGCCACAAAGGGGTGACGCCGCGGCTGGAAACATCCACCTCGCTCTCGCCGTCCATAGCGGGGCCTCAGGCTGAGCCCCGGGAGAAGCAGAGCTGCTCAGCTTGCCGAGGAGGAAGCGGCTTTCCCGCGGACAGCAGGTCACGTCTGGAGGCTCCGCGGGATCCCAACCCGGCGGTCACCCGGCGCGCGGGGCTCGGCGGCGCCGCTATTACCCGCCCTTTCCGGGGTCCCGCGGAGCCCGCCACTCTGCGCGATCGCGGCCAGGGACCTGGGCTTCAGGCCGGCGGATGGATCCAGTCGCCTCCGCGTCCTTCCCGCGCCGGTACCGCAGAGCGAGCCCGCCACTCACTCTCGAGGGTCGCCGCCGACGCGCGGGACGCTTGGGCAGAGCTTAGCTCGTCCACGCAGCTCGCCGCCGGGCGCTCCCCCGCGCCGCCATGCCCCGCTCTCCCGCTGCCCGGCCCCCAGCGCGCTCACCCTGCCTGGCGTCCGATCCCGGACCGAGGAGCGCTCCCCTCCCCGTGGGTGGCCGGGTCCGGACCCGAGCACCGGGGCTACAGCTCTACAACGTTGCAGCCGCCAGAGTCGCGGGCCCCGCCCCCTCTCCCCAGCCC